TGTCAAATAACTGTATAAATTTTAACTTTAAGATACTACGTTAATTAAAAGGAATTTATCCTTATAATTGACTACTTCGATCAGCATCATAAAAATAGAGAATGTTCTTTTTCAAACAACCTTTAACCCTAACAAAGTTAGATTAGTAGACAAAAATAAAAACATTTTACTACTAATATTGTATTGTGTAAGTACATACCGACAGTGAGCATTTGCAGCAGGCCGCGCTGCGTGAGTTGGCCTAAGGCACAGTGAGTGCCAGTAGCACGGGGCGGCAGTGACGGGAAATTGTGGAAGGGCCCCGGTCCTGCCACCCAATATGCCCGCCCGGAGCCTGCGCTTGCGTTCGCAACAAATTCCTCATAGCTGAAAATACCATTTACTCTTTATTCTAATCAAAGATCTCCTCAAGAACTCTGTAGGTGAGAGGTAAAGAACCTTAAGTGTCAAATGGTAAGTTATACTCCAAAGGGTTTTAATGAGTTTCAGGCTTTTAATTAGGCATTTAAAATCAATCACAAGGTGAAAAAAAATATGTTAAATAAAAAACAAACGACGATATCTTTAGCATTGTGATTTTTAGCATTCTAAAGCAATGTTTGTAAAGACATATAAATTGGACTTAAGGTCCTCTACCTCTCGCCTAAAGAACTCATTATTTGGGTGAAATGATAAGTAGAGTTGCAGCAGTATAAAAGTTAGTATATTATTTATCATATTTTATATTTTTATATACGTTGTTGTCACAATAAGGCAACAGACAACAGTTTGCAACAATACCTTTCTATTTATATAAACAAGGCCTACCGCATAATAACTGAGTCGGTTCCTGAGGTAGCTGCGCGGTGCGGAAGGAGTGACAGTTTACATAACAGTTATGTCGCGCTGCACACGGCATAATTTCAACAACATTTTTCTGACGATATTCAATAGCAAGTTGATTGAAAAAAGTGCCTACCAAATTAGTCAATTGTTGTTACCTATATGAAACGATAATTTTTTTAAATCTATTGAAATGAATAGACAATCCACTTGGCACTTATTGTTAGAAATGGGAAAAATTGCTTATTTTTTTAAACGTTGAAATGATATCCTATTTTTAAAAAAGCGTGCTTTTTTAAACGCCATTTTACTTAATCGCTTTTTAGTTTGTAGCTAACAAAATCGTTTAGAAAAACATTTAAGCGCATAGATTTTTATGTTAAAAAAAGCTCGCAACTTTGTGTTGATAGAGAAAAGTTAGAGTAGACCACTAAACGTTTTAGGATAAGTAAGTTTATTTGTAAAAAACGCGTTCAATTTTTTTTTAACATAACGTTATTATATTAACCGCTGGAATTATTTCAGAGCTACCTTTCGAATCGTACTCAATGTGTCAAAATTGGCGATTTACTGAGTCAGGAGCTTCCTGTGGAGCATGGCGTTCCACAGGGTAGTATTTTGGGTCCGATTTTGTTTTTAGTCTATATCAACGATATGTGTTCCATTAACTTAATTAATGGAAGGTTGGTGGCATTTACTGATGACACGGCTCTCATTTTTACGGGTCGCACTTGGGAGCAAGCATTTCAAGCTGCACAAATTGGCTTTAACTCGATAACCAGTTGGCTCACTGATAATTTACTGTCGCTGAATGTTGTCAAGACGAAGTTTTTGAAAGTCAGTATTAATCAACCAAAAGCATTAAAAATAACCGTTACAGCTCAGTTTAGTCGCCCATAACCACGCTGTAAATAGTAACGTTCCTTGCGACTGTCCTAAATTAGAAACAGCTACCAATGTTAGGTACCTGGGTGTGATTTTAGATGAACATCTAAATTTTGTACCCCACATTGAAAACCTAACAGGCAGAATACGTAGGTTATACGATTTTAAGTACCTAAGACATGTAAGTATAACCAAATGACTTCTAAAACTGTCATATGAAGAAACAGAAAATCTTCATGCTGCTCAATGAAGTGTTCACATCAAATACGCACTCTTTTTCCAACACACACGCAAGTCACACACCCGCGCGCAACACACACACCCACACCTTCACACACACACACACACACACACACACACACACACACACACACACACACACACACACACACACACACACACACACACACACGGACACACACACACACTTTCAGTGAGAGAATTATTTATAAAGATTACATAATTTAGTTTAATCATGGACCAATAACTCAAGAGGACTGCTAATCGTCATACAAGATAGCGTAGCCGGGTATT